TTGGAGGAAACAGGCCTGTAAATAAGTTATGGCGGCTGTGTGCAGAGCATGCCATCTTAGGGCTGGAGGCCACTCTTCGGGGTGTCAGGAACGGCTGTTGAGTCGGGCGTAGGAATGCACCAGGTAGATCAGGAGGGATGTAACTTCAGGCAGTAGAATGTACAGTAGCAAAAAAAGTCCTCATCCCTTCGAGGGGACTGTAAGTAGTCCATGGGCCATAGTGCAGGGTATGTGAGGGGTGTTGGAAGATGAGGCTGAACAGTGTTGCTTCTTCCTCTAGGGCCTGTGTGTCTGGGGGGTACGGGGTGCCATTGCAGGGCTTGAAGCCGGGAAGAAGGAATTCCCTGACTGTATTTGGGGCAGTGGATTGAAGCGAGAGAGTATGGAGGCCAGACCATAGAAAAACTGAATAAAAGCCCTTTCCAGGGCTAGAACTTAGTTTCTTGTTCTCGCCGCGTGGGATTTTTGGTGTCTCAGCCAGCCCGCAGCTGTTTGTTCAGTGCCTGCCTTGTCCTCTGAATGTCGGAAGCCTCCTGGAGTTTCAGGGATGGGGAGACCCCGTTCACGGTGCTCCCTGACAAGATGGTGATCGTTGGCCTCTTTGCTTCCTTTGTACCCTGGGATCTTAGCACCACAGATCCTTTCAGAGGCCCTGTGTGGGATCTCTTTTGAGAGCCACCGGTAGGACAGACATTGCAGAGACGACTCAGGAGGACACTGGACGTCGTGTGTGGGAAAGGGTCCCGCCCTGGGGCTTCTCCCACCAGCTAGCATACCATGCCTTCGTGTGGGTCAAGTGATGTGTAACATAGAATTTAAGTGACCTTCCGTAACAAAACGCCTGTGATCCTGGGGTTGCTGAGCCTCCTAGGAGCACTGGAACGCGCTCTCTGCGTGGCTTCCAAGGCTCTAGTCTCTTCAGGCCAAGGACATGAGGTTTGTCAGCTGAAACGGGGGGCTGCCATGAGATCAGCAGTCGAGTCCTGCGCCCGGGTCTCCTCCTCCTGCTCTGAGTCAGCTGGCTCATCTATCCAAGGCAGCTCTTTCCCTCTCGGGGCGGACCTAGGGTCCTTTCCTCTTCTATCCCACTGGCCTAGTAGCATTCTTCTGTCCAAACCAGCCAGCCTGAGCGGCGGAAAGGGAAGGACTGGCTTTCTCATTATTTCCCCAGTGCAGCCCCTTGCCCTCTCTGGACTTTTGAGCAGCATGTGCTCTTTCTCCTGCCTGCAGATGTCCCAGTTCATTGTCCAGTGCCTGAACCCTTACCGGAAACCTGACTGCAAAGTGGGAAGAATCACCACAACTGAAGACTTCAAACACCTAGCTCGCAAGGTATCCCCTCTGTTCTGACGACGTTCTGGGCAAACCGTGTACCTTTCATCATAGAAAGTGGGTTTTCCTTGCCAGATGCCTGGGCTGGGGACCCAGGAAGAGGGAGGGAAGGTTAGGGAAGGGAGGGCATCCTCCTTGAGGGTAGGGTTGGTGGTCCTGTCACAGACTCTCGCGGGGCTTCGCCTCCCCTTTCTGCTGATCCCAGCACCAGCCTGCCCCAGCCTCTCTCTTTATTCAATCCCAGTCTTGGTGAGAAGGGCCCTGAGGCACCAGGCTGGCCTTACCCCCTGAAATCCTTCCCACTCTGGTCTCTCTTCCTGTGTCCTGGACAGCTGACTCACGGCGTGATGAATAAGGAGCTGAAGTACTGTAAGAACCCTGAGGATCTGGAGTGCAATGAGAATGTGAAACACAAAACCAAGGAGTACATTAAGAAGTACATGCAGAAGTTTGGGGCCGTTTACAAACCCAAAGAGGACACTGAATTAGAGTGACTTGTGGGGCCAGGGTGGGAGGACAGGTGAGCAGGTGGGACAGACTCGGGAGAAGAAACCCTGCAGGCCCGCTGCCCCCCCCGCCCCCCGTCAGGGCTGTGCTACTGGTGACACGTCGCCCTGGGGAATGGGGAGCTCAGACCTGCAGATTTCAGCTGAAAGCCACGAAAATGAGCTCCATCTACAAGCGATCTTTGGTCCTGAGCTGTTGGGGTGTGGTGTGGTTGGAGGCCCATCAGAGGCAAGGGCTTAGGGAAGGACCCCACTAAGATCCTGGCCAGGCCTAGCCCCACTCCCAAACCTGGGTCTCCTCCTTGGCGGTGCTGTCAGCGCACAGACCCATGCGCATCCCCACCCATGACCCCTCACCCTGACGATCTGTATTATATTTTAATGTATATGTGAATATATTGAAAATAATTTTGTTTTTTCCTGGTTTTGTTTGTTTTTCGTTTTGCTTTTAGCCTCTACGTGCTAGATCACAGGAAGACTTTGTAAGGATGGTTTTAAGTTCTGCAAGGTTTAATTTGTTATCATGTAAATATTCCAAAGCAGGCTGCCTTGTGGTTTCGGCCAGCCTTGTGCTATGTTGATAAGATTGATTTACTGCTTAAAATCACTTTACTTTATCCAATTTTTACTGAACTTTTTATGTAAAAAATAAAATCGATTAAAGAACTTGGAATGTGTGTTCCCTAAAAGCTCGTCAAGCATATTTGTATACAGTGGTGTCACTGGAGAGAGAAAGGAGAGATGGTGGCCATAGATGTGTGAGTCCAGAGTTAATCCTTGAGCTTGGAGTTCAGTCACAGGCCTTGTTCCTGACAGGTCCCACTGGGACTGACACTTGTGGCCTTGGGATCTTGTGCCTGTGTTCAGGGTGGAGTCAACTCGTACTACATGTATTCCAGAGCAAAAGAGGTGGGCCTGAGGGCCTCAAAGGGTCTGGGCTTCTTTACTTTGGTTCATAGGTCAGGCAGGAGAAAGGCACGAGTCTTCCCTTTATACCTCCTGGCTGAGGAGAGGAAGGCATTGACCCTCTTCCCTCCAGAACTTGAGTTCCCCAAGCTCACTGGAATGCTCTTTTGGTGGGTGGGTTCCCCGACCTCCCCCACCATGCAGCCTGACCCTGGGCTTGGACCCTAGAGGACCCCTATAAAGGGGTACAGTGCGTAGGCTGTGATGAGACTGGACATCTCCTGGAGGAGGCAGGGCTCAGTGGCCCGACCCACCTCCCCCACCACCCTTTGAAGGGTAAGTTGTCTGGGCTGTGAGGAGGACTGTAGGCTGCCAGCCAGTCTGGAACTGTCTTTGCAAAGAGACTGGTCCCATGTCTTCCTCACCAGGGCTGTTTTGCTCCCTGCAGCAATGCCCTTGGGGGAGGGGCCGCGGCCCACTGAGTCTTGGGCAGGGAGGATGGTGGATAGAGCATTCGCCTGCTGGGTGCTGGGCCAGGCACTTGGAGCTTGGGTTGTGCGCGTTTGATCCTTACAACCCTAGGGACACGAGTTGGCACTGTTCAGATGAGGAAATTCTGCCTCAGGCTCAGGAACTCATATCCTCATTGTTAAAAGAGGATAAGAACACCTATTTTCAAGTCCTAATCATTAGACGTGCTATTTAATAATGTAGCCAAAGTGTTTTCCCATGCTACTGCAGCCTTCAAAACTATTTAAAGCACATTACATCAAATGGATGGACTCTAATTCAACCCTCTTGACATTTGAGAGTTATTAACAGAGAATATATCTCAGTTAATGTGCACATTAAAAGGGAGTGGCTCTCTTGGGTGGGTTTGGGGTGCAGGGGTACGGCCCCATGCTCTGCTGCTGGCAACCAAGTCAAACTCACAGTTTGACCTGAGGCTCCAGTTTCAGATGTTCCAAGGAAATTTAGGTGGCCTTCCATTAAAGGGTGGTGACCAGGGAGCTGTAGAGTTTCAGATAGGACACCTCTGAAAAGAGATTCTATTCTCTTAGCTCCCTACGGAGTTTTTTTTTGAAAACTTTCCCCGTTCCACACACCCCTTGACACCTTCAGACTCCGATCCCTTAGTTGTGACGAGGGGTGCCAGCCGATCCAGAAGCTGTTGGGTGCCACTCGGCACAGGCTTCCACATTCGGGGCCAGTCCAGTGCTCGAGAGCCCTGGGGCCGGCTCCCCTCCCACGGAGGTGCAAGCTCGCTCCCAAGCGTGCCGGGCTGATTTCAGCTGACTGCACGCTGAGCCTCTCCTGGGTCATGGCCCAATGGTCATCTCCGGATGGAGGGAGCCATAAACCTGCCCTTCCTTAAGGACAAGATTTCCAGGGTTAAGCAGCCCCGTGAGATGGTTTCTGAGGAGCAGCAGGCTGATGTTCGGCCCTCCCAGAGCAGCCGATACCAGTCACGTGTCAGCAAGAGGTCAGGGACCGACCCGAGGCCTCTCTGGGCCACCGCTGAATCCCACGACTCTGGAGTTCGGGTGGCCATGTTGCTCCAGGGGCCCCGACCCTCGTGGGCGCCAGGATGGGGGCCGTTGCTCCTTCCCAGGCAGGGGCCTGTCTGCTGTAGCAACCGCTTCAGAAGGCAGTAACCAGCCTGCCTTCCTCTCCTTCGGGCAGGCAGATACGTGGGCGGGGGGGGGGCGCGCAGGTGTCTTGGTGGCAGCTGTTCTGCCCGCAGCTGCCCCTTGGGTGGGTGGGACGACCCGCTTGCCCTTGGCTTGTGTGGAAGTCGCAGAAGCAGCTATGGAAGCATGGCTGGAACTCCCTCCTGAGACTGGTAAGAACGGGCTTTGTAAGGAGAGTCTTTCTTCCTTTTTCTCATCTAGAGCTGACCTGCTTCCCAGGACGTCTGCCTCCAGCCTCCCCTTGATGCTGGTCACAGCAGAAGTCACAAAAACAGCCTCCATCCCAAGGCCCCTCAGTGCCAGTCTGAGAGTGGAAGGGGTGGGGGGAGCCTACTGAATGTGCCATCCTGTTACTGGCCTCCAGCTAAGGAAGCTAAAGTTCGGAGAGGCAAACTAGCTCCCTCCCACGCGCAGCCAGTGAATGGCGGACGCAGGATGCGAAGGCCAGCCGTGCCTCCGGAGCGGGCCCGTCTCCTAGGCTCACGCGCTCCTCCCGCACCCCAGGGGCCCTCTCTGCCTCACAGACACCCCACTGTCCCACAGGCCCAAGGAGTCAGAGGCGGCACAGTAGTCCCAAGTGGCCTTTAATAGGAGATACAAAAGTAGAAAAACCAGTTGAGGCTAAATAAGGGGAGGTGGAGCGGGGAGGAGGAGGGCAGGGCCACTCCTTGCTGCTCAGTCCCCCCCACGTCCTGGTCCCTGTCCTGGAGGAAGGTAGGGCGAGGGTAGGTGAGCGGCGGCTGGATCTTCTGTGTTCCCTCCGAACAGAGCAGGCGGAGGCCACCGATGCCGGAAAGCTCACGAAAGGGAAAGCGTATTTGCGTGCGGGACAGGGGAAGGCACCAAAGCAGGTTCCCCGAGAGGCCGGGCTGTGGTGGCCTCACTCACACCACAGAGCAGCCCTCAGCTGGGGGGCCCAGAACCCGGACCACATCGTCACGGTCCAGGGAAGCCAGGGCGTCCTCCAGCACCCTGAGGGTGGCACCACTGCCTTCTTTGACAGCCCAGTCCCGCAGCAGGGCGGAGGCTGGCCCCTGGCCCCGGGCCATGATCTCCACAGCGTCAGCCTGGTAGCCCAGGCGGCCTGCCAGGCCCTGCCAGCCCTCGTCAGGTTGGCCTGACGCTTCCAGGAGCCGCTCCACCTCCTCTTGCTGCTGCCGAGGGAGATGAAGGTAGAGCCGGCAGCCAGGTTCAGGATGTGGCCCTGGGGTGGGAGACGTGAGGGGCACAGAGGGTCAGACGGGCTGGGGGGTATGGCAGAGCTGGGTCTGAAAGTCTTCAGATTGGGGAAGGACGCTCACCCTGGCTGGGGGCACAGGGCTCCTGGCCGCTGGGATTGTCCCGGAAGGCAATGCTGTCCCCATGCCTCTGATCCCTGTCGAGGGCCCCCAGCTCTGCGGTCCGAGCTTTGGCCAGCTGCTGTCTTTGTTTACGTGAGCGCCAGCTGTGGGGAGCAGGGGGGACCCGCCAACCTGTTCCAGCCCACGCTGACAAGACAGGGGGCTGGCTGCGAGTCCAGCTGGGGAGGGGCGTGCCACAGGGCAGTGCCCGGGAGTACCTACCACTTGAAGGCCACGTAGGCGAGCAGACCAAGGACCACGGTGGCCAGGAGGGCACAGTAGACGGGGATAATGCTGCCTGAGGCCCCTGGAGGCTCAGGGGGGAATGGGGAGGAGGTATTGGGGGCCAGAGCTCCCCCTACCCATACCCCTTCCCTGTCCCTGTCCGGCACCCTCTGCGTCTTGTCTGTGGAGGAAAGGACAAACAGGGTCGAGGACAAGGAATCAAAGCCAGGCCCTAACTAGTGGTCACTTAGACTTCGCTGCCAAAAAGGTTTGAACCAACAGTTGCTACACTTCATAGAATCAAAAATTCATACCACGGCATCGAGACTGGCGTCCTTACCCACCCTCAACTCCCACAGCCTCCTCTCTGCTCACCGCTCTTGGACACCTAGCCCTTCCTGGGGGTACCCGCCTCCTGGGTGTCCCGAAGTCTGCTCTTGCTGTTATGACCTTCTCCAACTGGCAGGCATCGCCTACTCTGGGAAGGCTTCCTCGATCTCTCCCAAGTCTCTCCCTTTTCTGGCTCCTGCTGAACCTCCCCTGTCTACTGGGGCATTACCCTGTGTGTCCTGTCTCTCCCACCACGTCTGGAACCCCACAGGGGCCTCTGCACACGAGACCTTGTAAAGTTTTGCAAAATAAAGCTGAGCTAGAAGGCAAGTGAACGCTGCTGCTCGCTTCTGCCTGGAGGCCAATTAACTCCACAATCCGGCGCAGGCAGGGCCGAGGGAACAGGGAACTCCAGAGCTGTGTGACCTACCCACCTACCCAGTGCCCCAAATCTGGATCTAAAGGCACTTACCCACATGGACCATGCCTTCCCTGTGGCTGGAGTTGTGAAGCATGGCTCTGCCGGCTAGCAATGCTCCCAGGGACTGCATCTCTTGGAGAAGGGGTTGGAGTGTCATGGCAACACTCAGGCCAGGGAGCTGGGAAACTTCTCCGCTACATGTAGCAAGATGGGGGATTTTCTTCAGGCCAGATGTCGGGAGTCCCTTGGTATATTCTGTCCCCCTCTCCTGGCTCCATCCTGATTCACTCCAGGGCTGGTTACCCCCCTGCAACTTCCCCACTCACCAACCTGGACCAGTTTCCTCCTGTGTTAGATGGGGTGGCTTTGACAGAGCTAGTCCCCACAGGCCAAAGCTGGAGGAGCCAGGGTGCAGGTCAGGATGGAGGGGAGCAGGCTGGGAACCTTAGCAACCCCTGGCCTGAGTCCAGGGATGGCAAGGGAGCACCACAGAGACTCCCATCCCCACCTCAGTCAGAGCCAGGCGGAGACTTGCTGGGTGGGGGAGCTCCCCCAGACTTCTCTGCATGAGCCCGGGGAACCCAACACCCTAAGCCCCGAAGGCGAGGCTTCCTGTGACGATAGTCCCACTCCTGCCTCCAGGGTCAGTGTCCAGCCCTCACCTCCTGCCCAGAAACTGGACAGGAGGGTTCTGAGGTGGGTTCGGCAAGCGCAGAAGAGTATCCGGGCCCAGAGGCCCCCTGGTCCTTTCTCACCTGGGAGTTCAGATGGCCTGGAGGCCAGAAAGCTAAGGGACAGGGCCCGTCTGGACCTACAGGGTTGATCCTGCTGGGACCCACTTCCTAAGGCCTGGGTAAGAGAAGCCTCATCTGGGCCGCGAATGGATCTTGCCCGGAAAAGGCACGCAAAGCTGGGGGCAGGCCCTCCAACTCTCCAACATCCACCACCACATCCGGCCTGGTCTCCAAACTCACTTCCCTGCCCAGTCAGCAATTGGGTCTGGGACAGAGACTGCAGGGGCCCTTGTACATTTGTGTCACTTACCACATAAGGGGCCCTTCCCGGATCCCGGTTGGCAGGTGGGCCTGTGACCAGCGCGCCTAGCCACGCCAGGCCTGTGTCTGCCCGACCCACCCCAGGGCTACTGCGGGGCTGGAGCCTCTACCCGCCCCCCGCATCCCCACTCCCGCCCCCCACACACACACCCGTCTCCGGGCACAAAACACGCCCATGCATGCCAATACGGACGCCGGCACCACGACGGCCGACACCCGCAGGATGGCGGGCCTCGAGGTGGGGGACAGAAAAGCAGCCCTCGGCTCTCTCAGTCCAGGAAGACCCGGAGCTCTGTCCCCAACCCCCTTCTGACCTGCGGCGGCCGCCCCTCCGCGGCTCCCAGGATCCAGTCCTGGCTGGCCGGACTCGGGCCTCTGTGCAGCCAGGCTCCCGTGGGCCAGCCGGGAAGGCTGCGTGCAGTCCCTGGGGAGGCCAACTCCGGCGAGGCGCGGGGGCTGGGCGGGACGGGCGGTCCCGGGAGTCAGCCAGAGCGCCCACGGAGGAGCGGCCTAGGCCGGAGGGCGGGGGCGCGCGGGGGCGCGGCCGTCGGCGGCCCCGCCCCGCGCAGGGACGCGCACACGTGCGGCGGTGTCGCGAGGACGCGCGGAGGCCGGGAGAACCACCCGCCGGGTAGGATCGGCAGGCGGGGTCCCCCGGGACAGAGGCGGCGCGGCTGGGGAAACAGGCCACGCGGAGGAGGCGAGACGCCCTGGAGGGCTCCTGGGCCAGGGGAACGCGAGCCCAGGACGGTGGCCTGGGCAGGCGGAGACCACCGCGCGCACGTATACTCGGAGGCGAAGCGGATACAAAACTAGGCCAGGTTTATTGCCGAGAGTGGTAGAGCGGGGGGCCGCCTTTAGAGATTAAGGCCACAGCCCGGCCCCCGTGCTCCGACGGGACGCGGGGTTTGGGAGCCTGAGCTCCCACCCGCCCCATACTGTGCAAAAAGTGCGGTGCGGCCGCTAAGGCCAGTGCCAGACTCCGGGCGGCCCCTCTGCCGGCGAGGGGCGGGACTTCCTGGAGTGAACCGCCCACCAATCCCTGAGCTGGGCGGGGGTGGGGTCCCGCCCACCCCCGGAGCCGGGCCGACGGCCGCGGCGTGCTCTCCTCCTCCGGATTCCCGCCGACTCCTGGGCGGGGCCTCCAAGGGCGGAGGCCGCTGGGGGAGGAGCCTGCGCGGTGGGGCGGGGCGGGGCGGCTGTCAGCGCGCCTCTCCTGGGTTGTACTCTGTCTCCCCCGAGGACACCTGTGAGATGCGCCTGGAGGACCGCCACAGCTTCCGCGCGAACTGGCTGCTGCGCGCCTGGGGCGGGGGGGAGGTGGGGGGAGAAGTGGGATTGGGGAGAGGTGGGCCAGAACCGTCGCCCCCCGCCCCGATCGAGGCCCGCCCTGCCCTTACCCTCACCTCAGAGGGCTGCCCCGCGCCCACCACGATAAGCTTGCCGTCCTCCAGGCCCACGAGCACGTGGCTGCGCTCCTTGGTCACAGCCACGCTGCGGATGGGCACCTTCATGGGTAGGGGAGGCGCAGCCGGAAGCAGCCTGCAGGGAGGGAGGGATATACCTGAACTCTCAGCGGCAAGGGAGCTTTGTGTTTTCATTCTCCTGTGTACCCTACCCTCTCTGTTGCATTTGAAGGGATGGCTCAACTGAAACCTTAATACATAAAGGGACCTTCCACAAGTGTGTAGCTAAGGGAGGCCCAGGGCAAGATCAACCCCCGGGGGCGGGGGGGGGGGGGGGGGACACAAAAGACAGGCCCTGAAAAAGGGGCCCATGGACATGTAAAGGGGCTATGGGTAGGCCCACCGTTGTGGGGTGGGGGGGAGACGCAGGGGGTGCTGGGAGGCTAGCACCTTTTAGTATCCTCTGCCAATGACTCTCACCCTGCAGGTCCATGAACTCATGAAGAGCAGAACTCACTTGTTCAGGTGGAGGATGTGCAGGGCACACTGGGCGGTGCCCAGCAGAACAAAGTCCTCCGTCACCGCCAGGGCTGTGGGCTGCTCTACCAGGGGCAGTGAAGCCCGTAACTTCCCATTCACGGAGTACAGGTGCAAAGAGTAGGTGACCTGGGAGAAGCAAGAGGTGTCAGCAAGAACAGAATCCCAACTACCCCGTTCTTGGCTGAGCACCCCTTTTCCATACCTGAGCCCCCACACGCTCCCACGCCGAGCTCTGTACCACAATCTGGCCCTCAGACCCCAGCGCCAGATGGGACACAGGTCCGGGTAATGTGGCCCCTGGGGGCTGTAGTGCTGCCACAAATTGGCCACGGCGTACGGTGTGGATGATCACAGTTCCATCCTGAAGGAAGGCAGCGAAGGGTTCTGGGCACGGGTCTCTAATCTCCAGGGGCATTGCCTAGCAAACTTGGCCTCCCCTGGGCACAGGCACCCACACATACCTCAGATCCAGATACAGCCATGTCGAGTTCAGTGCTGATGGCCACACAGCTCACTGCAGCCTCATGCCCGTATAGCACCTGCACAGGCTTTGATGCCAGTCCCACCGAGAGACCACCCTGTGGGTAGTCAAGGCTGGCTCAGGACTGGGGACACCTCACTACCCTGGCCAGAGTGCTGGAGGGTGGTGGAGCCCCAGCCTTGCTCACAGTGGCAGAAATAAGGGGTGGATGGGCTGCAGGCGTGGACTATGGGGGCCCCATGGGGCTGCCCACCCAGCACACCTCCTGCAGGAGCCGCCACACCATGCACGTGGTGTCCCGGGAGCCCGAGATGAGGTAGATGCCACAGGTGTCCAGTGCCAGGCAAGTCACTACATCTGCACGGGGAGGGGAGGGTGCAAGCGGAATGCAGCGGTCACCCCCTCCCCTGGCCCGCTACCCAGACCCGCACCACCCCAGCTCCCAGGCTGCACATACCAAGGTGGCGGTTGAGCTGTTTCAGCAGCTTGCCCCGCGGTAGTGCGGTCACTCGCAGGCTGCCATCCCAATGGCCACCACTGAACAGCAGCTTTCCGTCGGGGGCCACTGCCAGGGCCTGTCCACTCACGCCACGGTCCGGCACCCACGGGCCGCTCAGCAGTCGTTGCATCCTGACCCGGTGTTGGGTGGGGGGGACAGGTGAGGCCAGGCCAACACAGAAGACCCGGGCCCTCAGAGGCCTTGGCCAGACCCTGCCGCTGGCCCACACCCTGACTGGGTGGGGCGACAACTCGGGGGTGCAGGGTATTTAGAGCCCACCCCTGCCCACCTCCCTCTGTCCTACTTGGGGTTGCCCATGGTGGCGTCTTTGCTGAAGCTGAAGTAGTTGTTTATGTTCCGGTCGTAGGGCAGCCAGCTGTGGATGCCCAACAGCCCACTGGCACTCACGGTCACCTGTGGGCCAGAGGGGCCAGGGGTGGGTGCGGGGCGGAAGCCCGAGCAGGGGCGGAGCTGAGACGGGCGCTGCGCGGTGCACTTACCAAGAGGTCTGAGGTGCCCTGGATGGTGAAGGAGTGGGACTGCCGGTGGGGGACCAGGGCCAGCACCAGGGGCACGCCATCACTGATGACCTGCAGAGCAGAGCTCAGCTGGGGACCGCACTCCCCTGCCTGCCGCCTGGGGCACCGTTCTTTCCTCTCCTCCCAGCCCCCAGTGCTCACAGACTAGGGGTCACAGAGGCAGAGGTCCCTCTGCGACACAGTCAGGGGAGCTCAGTGTGCCTTCAGGAGGGCGTCCCCGAAAGTGAGGGAGTGAGAAGCTGGGATGGACAAGGCCACTCTCTCCGTCTCGACCTTGGTCTCGACCTTGGTCCTCCCACCCTCGGGCTTCATGTCCCCCCGGCCTGCTGGCAGGACAGGAGGGGTCACTAAAAAGGTCAGGCCTGGGGGACCCTCTCAGGGGAACAGGAACATGAGGGAAATTATCCAAGGCTACACTGCCTTCCTTCCTTAGGGTCTCCCTAAGTTTTCAGAGATGGTTGGGGGGGGTCAACAACTTGTCCTGGCCTCGGCAAAGAAGGTACCCCAGCCCCGCGCCCGTTACCTCTTTTTCAAAGTTGTCTAACATCAGTGACCTTGATTTAAGTCTTTCATCTGCCCCAAGAGGTTGGTAAGGACAGTGAAGTTAAACCCATTTCACAGAGCAGGAAGATGAAGCCCTGCCTCCACTCACCTCCGCAAAGAAGGCCTTGAGCTGGTCCAGGTGCTGGAAGATGCTAGGTGAGTTAGTGTCCAGGCGCGCGAGGCGTTGGGCTGCTTCCTCGGCGGAGAGCCGAGCTGGATGTGGCTCCTGTGGACAAGCGGCTGGTCAGCACCACGGCCTGGGCATCCCTGACCCGTGATCCTCCGAGCTGGTCTTACCTTCAGCAGCTGACAGGGGGTCTGCCCAAAATTACTGATAATGCCCTCCAGAGCCTTCCGTTCCCGCTCGTCCACCACGTGGTCCAGGTCCACGGCCCCTGGGCAAGGCAGGCTGAGCAGTCAGGACTTGCCCCATGCCCTCTGCACTCTGCCCTCCTCCGCAGTGGCCCGGCCCCCATGGGAGTCCAGGGCACCGCCCACCTTCATAGGTGCAGTAATAGAAGACGTTGAGCGCCTCCTCCGCGGCCGGTCCCCGCTGCTTGTAGCCAAAGATGAGGTCAATCCACTCGTGCAGGTGGGCAGACACATACTCGGACTCCTGCGGGTGGGGAGGTGCCAGTCAGTCCAGGGACGGCTGGCCCCCCCACCCCCACCCCGCCGCCCCCAACCCTGCCCCTCAACCCTGGCCGTCTGCCTGTCCATGTTCAGCCCTCACCAGAGCCTGGCGGTGCTGCTGGATGAAGTCCTCCGGGGAGCTGGCCCACGGCGGCAGCACCACGTCGTCCACCTTCTCGTTGGTCAGCTGGAGGCAGCCCAGGTCGAAGCCTGGCCCGGAGGACGGGGTGAGCGGTCTCGCTGTAGCTTTACCCACGTCGCTGGCCAGGCCTGGCCTGTGCGCTCCGCCCCCAGGGCCCCCCCAGCCCCACTCCAGCTCCTACCGTTCTGGTTCTCCAGGAAGTCGGGGAAGTAGAAGAACTCCGGGATAAGCTCCTTCACATCGGCAGGGCTCTCCAAGCGGGCCTGCCAGGCTGCCGCCACGGAGTGGAACTGCCGGTCGGAGCAGTCAAAGCTGGGGGAGGGGCACA